GAAGATGTCGGCGAATTCGTCAAGCAACCGTACCACACGGGTCTCCGAAGACAAGTTCGTGGGTTGAGATTCGGTTGCAGCGACGGTGCGAAGAAAACATAGCCCCATCTCGTCGGTCCGCTCGTAAGCGCAAGTGGCACGAAAAGATTTGGCTGTTACAACTTGGCACCGGATCAAGGGGTGCGGAAGAGGGATGGTACATGGCACTTCGGCGCCAAACGTGTCACGGACCGTAAGTGTCCGCCAATGGAAGTTGACCGTGTGATCCAGACTTGCAAGCCAAGGCATGCCCAAAATGATGTCAAAGTCCGTGTCCAAGACGTAAAGCGTCACCGGTTCGCATGCATGAGGTGCGAAATAGACCGGTACGGCCTCGATGTAGCGGTCAAGGAGTTGTTGCGCCCTACCGTCCGCCAACTTGATCGCCGTAGGGTGTGCCTTCCTTCGAATTTGGGGGCCAAGGCCGGCCCTTTGCATAAAGGACTGGCTAATGAAATTGCGCGTCGCGCCGCTATCCAGCAAAGCGCTGCAGGACGCTTGCTCGACTTGGATGCGGACATAAAGGAGCGGTGCGTTGTTATCATCGTACCGCTGCGTGCGAAACTCGCGGGCCACCTTGCTAACGTACGCAAGGATGTCCCCCACCGCGACTTCGTCCTCCGTTGGCGAAGTTGGTGGTGCATAGAAGGTTAGTTATGTATGTAGATGAGCGCTAAGAGCTGCGCATTGCGGCTCCGGTAAGCAGCCGGTGGAAGGGAGAGGGAGCCATGCAAAATCATCGGGCGTCAACGGGTCCAAGTCCTCTATGTTGAACGCGCGCACCGAATCCCGTGAAGGTCCACTTGAAGACGACTCAATGTCGCTGCTTCCGAACGGAGAAGAAACCGCACATACATCCTGTCCTTGGGCTCGTGAATTCAGCGAAGGTACGAGCCGGGCATCATAGTCCTCAAAAGAATGAAGAATGGAGGACTTAGGACTTCCGCATGTGCCCCGGAACCGAGGGAGGCTACCCGTATGGCAATTGGTTCCGAAGGCGTCGAGAGTGTCGTCGCATCACTCTCTGCGGTGCTCACTTTCCCGACTGAGCGGGGCCCTTGGCTTTCGTGGGACAGTTCACGGTCTCATGGGCCGTGCAGTTGCACCACAAACAATAACGGTACTTGCTGCGGACGCGATACCCGCGCTCCGTTAGACCGTATTGTGTCCAAGGTTCTTGAGTTGGAGCTCCTTGTCCGGGCCCAGAAAAAGTGGTGTTTGTCTTCGTTTTGCCGCGTCCTCGTCCTTTGGCGGGGCGGCCACCATTCTGGGCAGCTGCTAATCTGTCTCCCTCGGCAGAAGAGGCAGCCTCGTTTGAAGTTGAAGGGTCGCTTGGCGTTGCCGCCGCGACCACGACCACTTTCGGCCGATTCTGATACGCGCCCTGGCCGGCTGTCGACGAACGGCCAATGTTCTTGGCTTCCAAGTTCGTCACAATGATCTGTGCGGCCTTGTTGAAGAGTTCCTCACTTGTGTTGAGGTTCTCGGCGACCTGAGTTAACGCATTTTGCAATGTTGGGCATGACCTCTTGATGAAGTAGAGCTTGATGCCGTCGAAGTTCAGCGGCAGCTTGGGCGTGCTTGCCAAACGTTGGAACTCAGATATCCAGTCTCCACTTGGCATGTTGTTTTGTGAGAATGTCAGCAGCTTGTCCATCGCCTGATGCTCGGGCGGTTCCACTTGGAAACGTTTCTTCCATGCCACCATAAGATCAGCCCAGGTGATGAAGTTGTGTAACTCGGAGACTGTGCATGCATGTGCAGACAACATGTTGTCCAGCCATGCTTGGCACGCACCTCCTGACCGGGAGTACAAGTATGCGTGCCGGTTTGTGTGGACGACATGGTGGATGCCCAACTTTAATTCGAACTGGCGCCACCAAGGTATAGGCTCCGTCTTCGATGCATCACAGAAGATCGGGAGCCCCTCAAATTTGGGGATGCTCTCACGAGGCGCTGAGCTCGGTGTGGCTGCTGCCCCCACCTCCTGGTCCAGTCGCTGTGTCTCGGTTTTGAGCGTTCCCACGTCTATCTCCAAGACGTTGACGTGGTCGACAAGGTCGGAGGGGCCGGCGCTGGAGGTGGCGACTGGTCGCTGCTCCAGCTGCTGTATGCGCTTAGTCAGCGCCTGATTGGCGTGGTCGAGAGAGTGAATGTACAGTCGAGAAATTTTATTAATTAATAATTATTTAATATATTTTTATTTATTTTCTCGAAGTTTTCGCAAAGTTCCAACTTTTCATTTTTGATTAGTGGCTCCTTATCTGGGCAATCCACTCGATTCCCCCACTCCCCACCTCTCCCTCCCAGCTCCTTCTCCTCTTCTTCTTGCTCAACTGGCCATCAGTTTTGGCTACAGCCTTGGTAAGTCCCTACTTTTGCAGGCCACGTCAGCTACCCGCGGCGCATGACCCTGCTCACTCATTCACAAACAGGAGGGATGGATCAGAAAGCCAACGAGACTGACGAAGCCTATGAGGCACGGTTGGCGGCCATCATGGCCGAAAGCAAGCAACGGGCAGAAGCATCAGCAGCAGCAGCAAAGGCCGCCGATGAAGAACGTGTACGGCGGCGGGAGATTCTCTTCAGGGAGGAAACTGCGTTACACGCACAGGCCAGGGATTGGCAGAAGGAGGCCGAGAATGGAGACTCCGTTGACTACGGGACCAGGATTGCTCTCTTGCTCAACCGCATCACGGACCTCCTCCCTACTTGCATCAGGTCTCCTATGTTTCCCCACAGCAGGTAATTCGAAAAAAATTCGAATTTCAGACGACTGCAAAGAAAAATAATAACGAATGGAGATGATCAAAATAACTGAACTGCAAAAAATAATAAAAAGAATTCCGAAACATAAAAAAATTCGGAATTTCTCAAGTGAGAGTATGCGCAGTTTGAAAGTAAATGACTGCGGAGGAGTTTTCCCATAAAAAATAATTTCCGAATCTGGGAATAACGGTCAAATTTCAAAATTTCCGTTACCCCCGGAATGTGTGAATAAAAAACACAACAAAAATTTTTGAAAATAAGTTTGAAATAATGGATTTCAGAAAAAAATTCCGAATTTCGAATTAATGGGAATTTGCGAAGGAAAAGATAAATCGAAAAAAATTCGTAATATTTTCGGACCTCCAGCACCGGAATTTCGAATTTCAAAAAGAAAAAACGAAACTTTCATATGCTATGCTATTGCGATTTTCCACGAATGAAAATAGCGGGAAAGTGAAATCCAAAAAAAGAAAAAAAAAATCGATTTCGGCAGTTAGGTCAAAATCCGCGATCTTGGGGACTAATTAGTGTAAACTAATCAATCACTCAATCACTCAATCACTCAATCACTCAATCACTCAATCACTCAATCAATCAATGACTAATCAATCAATCAATCAATCAATCAATCAATCAATCAATCAATGATTAATCAATCAATCAATCAATCGATCAATCAATCAAGCAATGATTAATCAATCAATCAATCAATCAATCAATCAATCAATCAATCAATCAATCTTTGATTGTCCCCGCGCTTGTGTCAGATCAGGTTGTCCTGATTCACAAGCGGGGCTCCGATACCAAACTGACGCATGCCCAATGGGACAATGCGTAAGGAGCCAAGGATCTGCAATGTGATGAAAAGGACTGAAATGGACAATGCAAGGTCAGCGTAGCATCAACAAGCAATGTACATTCCGATACATACAAGATGGCACAAAGTGATGTAGCGGAAAACTTTAAAGAGAAGATCTGATCTGATCTGGACTGACCCGACATTCATCATACATCACAAATGCGAGAGGGGAGGGGGGACCGCAATCACAGAAGAAAGGTCCCTCCTTCACACACATACATGGGGAGATGCCACGGATGAGAGATGGGGGGAAGGGATGAGACGAAGGAGAAGGAGGCGAGGGAGTAGACCAAGATCGCGATAGCGAAGTCCCAAAAATAGTCCCTTGCCGAGTGTCCAATCAATGTCTGTCCCAGAAATGTTGAATCAGATCCTTGGCAATGTGCCCAACATAACCTCTGCCTGTATTCCCTACTGATGATCTCTCTCACTCTCGTAGATGAAGAAGGTAAGAAAGAGGAGGAAGAGGGAGAAAGAAGAGAGAGAGAGATGGAGGAGGAAGAAGAAGAAGATGACGTCCTCATTGCTATCTCACCTGCAGGTAGCTGTCACCGTACTGACTGTGGCCGTCGCCGTGTGCAGGTACCGCGCGGAGCCCAGCTATGGCGCCAGGTAAGTTCGTTGCCTGCAGGTAAGGCCTCCGCCTCTCTCCACTACCTACTCCGCTACTCCCTACTTCGTAGCTTGGCGCAGAATAGCGCTGCTTCAACCGGCAGCGTGTCGCTCCAGAAGTGAGCTACTCGAACTCTCCCTTGCCCAGCCGCTGCCCAGCTATTGGTAGTGCTGGGCCGGCTGGGCCTACCTGATGCTGGCCTCAGAAAACGGCCCAGCTGGTCTGGGTCCCTACCGGACGTCCAGACCACGCTGCTGATGCAGCAAGGTGCAGAAATGTGCCTGGCCTAAAAACGGCCCGGTACCTGTGCACCTAGCCCAAGGCGTCGCCTTGGGACCTGCAGGACCGAAAAGACGCCTGTACCTACCGGTTTGGCGCCAAAATGTGCCTGGCCTCGTTTCGGGCCTGCCTACGGTGTACCCAGTCCCAAGGTCCGGCCTTGGGGCTGCAAGTCCGAAACGGGACCTGACAGACAAAGTAAGACAGCACACACACACGAAAAGGTAAGTAAACTAAAGCTATCTAACTAGTGTGCTACCTAGGGCCTGAAGGGCCGCAGTGGGCCTCCAGGGCGCGTGCTGTATGGTACGCGTCCGGCCTAGGGGCTGCAAGTCTGAAAGGGCACCTGACAGACAAAGTGAGACAGCACACACACACGAAAAGGTAAGTAAACTAAACCTATCTAACTAGTGTGCTACCTAGGGCCTGAAGGGCCGCAGTGGGCCTCCAGGGCGCGTGCTGTATGGTGCGCGGCCTGGGGGGCCCTCAGCAACCCTCGGGTCCCTCAAATGGGGCCCATGTGCAGGCGCAGCATGCAACACAGGACCTCCTCGTGGTTGTATCCGACATGATCAGTTAATAGTACCTTGCCCATGTGCCCGAGTGGTACACACACACTCGGATGGAATAGGTAAGTAAACAGATCATGAGTTCAAATCCTGCATTAAGAATCGAAGTTTTCCGCACTCCGCAAGTCACCAGTGATGCAAACGAGGCATGCAATGGCAGGACGGACCTCCTCCTGTTTGTATTCAATAGGATCAGTTAGTACCCAGCCAGCCCATGAGGCCGAGTGGTAGGATGGAACAGGTAGTAAACAGATCATGAGTTCAAATCCTGCATTTGGAATCAAATGAACCCAATATTGTTAAGGGATACCCCCTTTGGAGTTTATAGACCAATGCTGATGGAACCAAAGGGCAGGAGGAGGTTGCGGCAAGTAGTAGTGGCCCTCCATACGTTTGAAGTAATTGATTCGTATTTCTTGATGCTTCCCTGCACCCCTCGAAGA